TGTTTCGATTTGAAAAGTTTGTGTCTCTCGATCAATAGAAGTCACTGAATGTGCTGTCGCTCTTTTCTCCCACCTCCTCAATTTATTTAAAGCATATTTTGTATACTTTTCACCCCGATCCACTGCTTCACTGATATCATCTCTACGTTTCTGGAAATAAGTAATAGTCTTAAAAAACGTAAACTTCACCAATGCAGTAATTGACAACATTCTAGCTCCTTTGAAAACACTATTAATACACTCTGCTAGATTTGTTGTCATCCATCCATATCGAAACCCTTGATCATGTGCTTGTGTCCATTTTTTAATGTTTATATGAGTGAAAAAATCAATACAATCTGGATTCAATTGTTGTAACTCCTTCATATATCTTTCAAATTTACGCTTTTGGTGTTGACACCCAGCACGATACACCAACTCTTTTAAGGGCTTCAAATTATATTTTTGTTGAAATTGCTAGCCACATGACGGAGACAAAATCGATGATGTGCTCTTAGTTCACTCCAGCCATTTTCCTTATCTTTCACAGCCGCCAAAATACCTCCATGACGATCAGAAATTAGACAAATTCCATCTCGATCGGTAACCAAATTTCGCAAGGCACACAAAAACCACGACCAACTACAAGTATTTTCCTCTTCCACAATAGCAAAAGCAATAGGGAATATATGCCCATTTGCATCATTTGTGGTGGCAATAAGTAATTTTCCCTTATAGTTGCCATACAGATGTGTACCATCAATCTGGATTAATGGTCTACAATGTTTAAATCCTTCAATTGCAGGACCAAATGACCAAAACACTCGCCCAAAAATAAGATGTCCAGGATTATTCGAAGGTATCAAGTCCCAGAGTACTCGAGTGTCGACATTATAATGCACTAAAGCATTCAACCAGTATGAGAGCTCTTCATATGATTTTTCCCAATCTCCAAAAACTTTAATTAGTGCTTTTCGTTTAGCTTGCCACATACGTCTGTAGTTCACACAATATCCAAACTCTTTTTTTATGACTTCTTGTAATGAAGCTATAGACGTACTAGGATCACGTCGTACAATATTCTGAATTTCACTGCACATAAAATTTGAGTCCAATTGTGAGTGATCCTGTGTAAGCTCGACATATAAACATGAATGAACCTCCTCAAGTACACTGATTTCAAACATCCCATGAGATTTACGTCGACGAGCACGAAGTCTCCACTTGCAACCATCATTCCACTGTTTGCATTTTACATACCACATATCTTGATTCGATTCAATTACAACAAATTGATAATGTTGTGCAATACAATATTTCTTGACAGCAAGTTGTAATTCTTCTTTGGTCCTAAATTTTGACCTTATACGTATGTTATCCACACTCATTTCTAGAGACATCGACCCTTCTTCCAACTTTGAACCTTCTTCACATATAGAGTGTGCAGTCTCAAAATCTATTTCAGTAAACATCGGTGAAGGTGCTTCCTCATTCAGGAGGGGAGGATTCAAATTTACTGGAATGTTCAAACACAATTCAGTTCCAAACAATTCATCCACTTCCACCTCAATATCAGAAGAGGATCCATTTCCAGGTTCAAGTATCACAATTTCATCACAATCTAATGACATAACTGTACAATATTTATAACTATGTTAACGAATTATTAAAAAAAAACATACAACAATATTCATAACATATAACATAAATCAAAAAAGTTAACCATAATCTAATGTTAATCCATCTATGTCTAAATTAAATAATTCATGACAAAAAATATATATACAAACAAAGAATGACATACAAACAAAATAAAATTAATAAAAAAAGACATATAAATACAAACAAACAAAAA